AGATGTAGTTTTGTAGCATGTGTGTGTGTGTGTGCTCAGGAAACTTTGTGTGTAGCTGATGACAACAAACCTCAAATCCCACACTTAAGACCATTTGGGAGGAGCAAAATGATATCTTTTGGATCTCTATATAAGAGGGATTGGATGCCAATAATTTGAGGGAGTCTTCATCTGGTGACCAGTGAAGAGAGATTTGACATCAATCAAGGAATGCTGCAGTAATCTGCAGAAGAAATCAAACCATTTATTACAGCATTTCTCAGTGGAGTGGACACCAATTACAAGCAAGATGAAGCAACAACAGCAAACGCCAGAACTGTTCGAAGACTTCCACATGCCCATCACTTTAGACGTCAGCAACATCTCAGCTTACAGCCCTTTCCTGGTCCCACAGGACCACCTGGGACACAGTGGCGTATTCATGGGCATGTCCGCTTTTATGCTCTTCCTTTTTATCGCAGGAACTGCCATCAACGTTCTTACCATAGTTTGCACAATTCAATACAAGAAACTCAGATCTCACCTGAACTATATTCTTGTGAACCTTGCCATTTCCAACTTGTGGGTGTCCGTTTTCGGTTCCTCGGTAGCGTTCTACGCCTTTTACAAAAAGTACTTTGTCTTTGGGCCGATAGGATGCAAAATCGAGGGCTTCACTTCAACAATTGGAGGTACATTGTAACATGCGTCCACATTGTTTTAATTCTAGCCACTTGTAGATCTTACATTCTGCTACTGGACTGTGATGGTTTCAACAATCTTCTTTCTGTGTTTTTGCAGGAATGGTGAGTTTGTGGTCTCTTGCTGTGGTGGCGCTGGAAAGGTGGCTGGTCATTTGCAAACCCCTCGGGAACTTTACCTTCAAGACCCCTCATGCCATTGCCGGCTGCATACTTCCTTGGTGTATGGCATTGGCTGCTGGACTCCCTCCACTCTTAGGCTGGAGCCGGTAAGTCCCTTGGTTACATTTTACTTTGATGGTCCCTTCAGGCCTTCTGTTGACTTTGCAACTAGTATTACACAGCAAGTGTCCATGTGACCGTGTTCCTCATAGTCACTAAAATGTCTGTTGGCAGACGATCAGAATCAATTGTTTGCAGATTTAAAGCAGACACTAATGGTTGTTATATTCAACAGAATGTCTAAAGTGGAACTTCAACTTAATGTGTTGCCACTGCCTGTAATACACTGACAATGCAACAGCTTTTTGTTTTGCTAAATGGTGATGACTGAAATCTGTTTTACAGGTATATACCTGAGGGCTTGCAGTGCTCTTGTGGACCTGACTGGTATACGACTAACAACAAATTCAACAATGAATCCTACGTCATGTTCCTCTTCTGCTTTTGCTTTGCGGTTCCTTTCAGCACCATTGTATTCTGTTATGGTCAGCTGCTCATCACTCTCAAATTAGTAAGTACAATTTTCACTTCGAAATTTTTATTTTCCAAACTGCAATTATTCTTAAACAAACTTAATATATGGAACTATACATTTTACACATTACAATAAGGTCGTATCAGTTAATGTGAGTCAATGTATTCTCTAACATGAACAAACAACAAGCAATACATTTATTAGCCTACAGTATTTATTCATCTTTGTTAATGTTAAATGATAGTTTAGGTTAACTCATTAAATTAACTAATGTTAAACATTCATTTGAATTTTAATAATGTATTTGTAAATGCTAAACTATGATTAATAAATGCTGTACTAGCATTATTCCTACCCATTTCATGTTTAGTAAATGCACTAACATTAACTAATGTAAGCTTATTGTAAAGTGTTACTAAACATATTTAATATACAAGTCAAAGATTAAGTTTAGTTATGCAACAAGATAATATTCAAAAACATATTGCTGTATTTAGCTTATTATGCTGAAAATAAAATGGCATTAGAGTAAAGATTACACAAACATTTAGTTATTTTAATACAGAACCCTAGAACAACTGATAAAACGCAATTTATTATTTATTTATTTATTACGTTGCTCTCTTTAATGTAATGCAAAACACTCTTTCTCCACTAGAGGGAGACTAAATACATGGCTTTGAGTAGTCACGTTGCCAGTTGCTCTAAAATCCCTTGTTTGTCCTACCAGGCAGCCAAAGCTCAAGCTGATTCAGCCTCAACCCAGAAGGCTGAGAGGGAGGTGACAAAGATGGTGGTGGTAATGGTGTTCGGCTTCTTGATATGCTGGGGACCATATGCTATCTTTGCAATCTGGGTGGTTTCCAACCGCGGTGCACCTTTTGACCTGAGACTGGCAACCATTCCCTCCTGCCTTTGTAAAGCCTCTACAGTGTACAATCCCGTCATATATGTCTTAATGAACAAACAGGTATAGTATCATTTGTGGCAGCTGTATGTTGAGCTGAATCAAATAGCATGTTTATTAAGCATAGATAATCATAACATCTACCTACAACTTTTTTTTTAAACAACAGTTCCGCTCCTGTATGATGAAGATGGTCTTCAACAAGAATATTGAGGAAGATGAGGCTTCTTCTTCATCTCAGGTCACCCAGGTCTCCTCTGTTGCGCCAGAGAAATAAACACAGTTCTCATGTAACCTCATCCTGCGGACGAACCACTCTAGCAGTGACAAAATGATTTTACAACATCTGTAAATAAAAAAACGTAGACCCAATAGGAATTTTTGCTTTTAATGTCAACATTTTTGTAACTTGGTCTTGGCTTGCTGAACATGTAGAGTTAGTAGATCATTATTATCATATTAAAATGTACAATAAATGCAAAGAAAGAAAGAATCATGTTGTTACATTATTCAGAGTTGCCTCACACAGTACAATAGTTTGTATTGAATATATGAATTATTATTTCCTGTTACAAATGACAACAAGTACAACATGAAAGTATTTCAAATCACGATGAAGTCCATTATTCTTTAGTTTTGAGTAGCATATCCAGTCTGAAAAGAAAACATGCATTATTTGTTGCACGAATAAGTCTTAATAAGGGATAGTCTGAATAGAAAGAAACATTTACACACACAAACACATACATATATATTATTGGTTGCATGAAAAATTTGTTAATTAATTAATAATAGGAAAAATTGCTTTGAATGTCTTCGCTCACATCACTGAACTGACATGTATTCTTACTCACCTTGTTCATGTATTTCATTCAATGGGTTGTTCACTTCCAAAACAAGAACAAAAGGGCAGAGAGAGAATGTGATGTTAGCTTTTGCCATCCTAACACAGTCAAATCAAGATCAACTCGATAGAAATTAAACCACAAACGATGTCAACGAAACAATGAGCAGTGAAAGCAAAGGTTTGCCCATGTTAGATTGACATCTCTTTTATGGAATAATTCCACTCAAAGTATATAATAGTTCAATAAACATTCAGTGCTAAATACCGTGATAATAGCGCTTGTCCATTGGCAGGTCATGCGAGACTAAACCGTGCTACTATGTTGAGCTGTCGTTGAGAATTCAGTTGTATATCCGAGTTCTGCTAGTAGTGAACTTTTGCCAATCACGAATAGTTCAGAACTAGCGGAATTCCAGGCATACGACTGACTGAGTGTTGACACTTTCTCATCCATCTGTTTCTGGAAAACATCCTTTCCGACTACATCTCACTGTAACTGGGATTGACATTTTGATAGCGGTAATAAAACAAAACAGTCAATCCCAAGAAAGCTTACTTCCAACAATCAAAAATAGTTTATTTGAATTAGCTTCCCCTTTAAAGGAAGTATTTAAAGATGACACCGTACAAGTATACATACATATCATTACAATTATTTGACATTTTTTAAAAAGGAATAGGAAAAAAAAGTTTACAGACTGCTTTTGTCTTGGCGTTGGCTCCATCCCCGTCCTGGTTTGGTCTGTTCACTTCCTCCTGCTCCACTTTGCCACAATAGATTGAGAAGCAGATGACTCACAAACAAAAAAAACAAGAAAAGAAAACGCCTATCGTCAGAAACCGGGGAGATTAAAACTGACCTCATCAAGATTTTCAGATAAACCCTGCTTTCCCTAAACTGAACCATCAATCCATTGGGATTAGGAAGGTTTGGGCTGCATCCTTGTCAATACTAATTAGGATCTGGTGTGGAGGGTACCTGGGTACCCCAGTTGTCCCAATAAGCTGATTTGGACTTGGACTGTAACCTAAATGTCTGACTTACAGTAACCCTACAGATACCGGACACTGCAGAGCTCTTGTTTTAACTGGGCACAACAGTGTATGAATGATTATGTCCTGTTAGGCCCAAACTGTATGGTTGTACAATGACATAAATATAGTCTATAAAGGTATAAAGCCTATAAATTTTTTTGAATGGATTTCTCATTGCATGCTGAACATTCTTCTATGCTAATATGTAAAGTATATTTGGAAGTTTGTAAATGTGCAAATTAAAATTAAAATATTAGTTTCCAACTGTGTAAAAAGTTATTTACTCCTACAGTAAGCAGCAAGTGCCATTATATAGAGAGATTCTGAGTCTTAAATCCTAAAATTATTTACCTTTAAACCCTAAACTGGAACATTCCTGACATACAGTTCCTTTTTTGAAACCCTAAAAAACTCTGCTGAGCACCAAAAAGAAACCAGTGTCATAATCTGCTGCTGTACCAAATGACGATGGTTTCATTGATTCCTACGATTGTTTCTAGCATCTGCAATGGTAGAAGGTGTGCTGTAAATGCTTTAGTTAATAGTGACACAAAGAGGTCAGTGACATGAGCCACCAACCTGCTCAAAGTATCACCAGGCCCTTTACCTTAAGCACTACTGGTTTGATTGCCAAATTCAATCATGTATTGTTTAGGTTTACCTGTGATGGCTTCAACAATCCAATGATAGAACAGTGGCTTAGGCCTTCATTAAGCCTAATGAATGAATCTTTGTTCTGCTTCCAATACCTGTTATGACCTCAACAATTCTTCACCCTGAGCGAGGGCACCCTATTTTTTAGACTATAAAAGCACATTGTCAAGAGCCCAATGCCAGTGTCGGTGCCAGTCGGCCAGTGACAGCAGATAATATAAGAGCAAAACCCCAGACTTTTACAACAGCTAAGTGACTACAGATTTGGGTTATACAACAAACCCCAAAAATGGCAGAGCAATGGGGAGATGCAATTTATGCAGCCCGGCGAAAGGGAGATGAAACCACAAGGGAAGCAATGTTCACATATACCAACAGTAATAACACCAAGGGTGAGTCTTTCAACTTTTTTCACACAAATATTTGTAATTTGATTAGATTTTAATAGGCATTGATGAATATGATTTTGCTAACCACATGAAAGTCTCTGATTGATTTAAACTGTGTGTAAATCTTTTCAAGTTTCGGATTCAAATGTTTGGTCTTCTCACCTTTATGTACAGTTTGCCAGAAATATCATGCAGAGCAGAAAGCAATGTCCTAGACTAGAGCATCAAAAGATTGTGAAATGCATTCAAATGGGTTTTGGGTGAGAACCCATCAAAATAGTGATATTTCTCTGTATTTGTAGATCCCTTTGAGGGTCCCAATTACCACATTGCCCCTCGATGGGTGTACAATGTTGCAACAGTCTGGATGTTCTTTGTGGTTGTCGCCTCAACCTTCACCAATGGCCTGGTACTGGTGGCCACGGCCAAATTCAAGAAGCTCCGTCACCCTCTCAACTGGATCTTGGTCAACCTTGCTATAGCTGATCTGGGAGAGACTCTGTTTGCCAGCACAATCAGTGTCATTAACCAATTTTTCGGCTACTTTATCCTAGGACATCCCATGTGTATTTTTGAAGGCTACACTGTGTCAGTATGTGGTAAGTTACTAATCAAACATCTGATTTTACAAATAAATAAAAAGCACATTTATACATTACACCACTGTTCATTATCTTTATTTGTGTCAGGATTTTTATGATATCTAACATTACAGGTATTGCTGCACTGTGGTCGTTGACTGTCATCTCTTGGGAAAGATGGGTGGTTGTCTGTAAACCATTTGGAAATGTCAAGTTTGATGCTAAATGGGCATCTGCTGGCATTATCTTCTCCTGGGTTTGGGCTGCTGCTTGGTGTGCACCTCCCATCTTTGGCTGGAGCAGGTAAAATCACTTATTTGAACATCAAAATGTAAAAGTTGACAGAAAAAAAGACATTTGTATCCATAGGAAACAACACTTTGGCTTGTGAGACCAAGTTTCAGAGAATCTTAAATGTTATTACAGATACTGGCCTCATGGTCTGAAGACCTCCTGTGGCCCTGATGTCTTCAGTGGAAGCGAGGACCCTGGAGTTCAGTCCTACATGGTGGTGCTCATGATCACCTGCTGTATCATCCCTCTAGCTATTATCATTCTCTGCTACATTGCTGTGTACCTGGCCATCCATGCTGTAAGTTAACCTTTTGAGAGGAAACTTTTTTGAAAAATGTTCTGCTATGGAGAACTGAGTGTGTTTGTGTCTCCAACAGGTTGCCCAGCAGCAGAAGGATTCTGAGTCCACACAGAAGGCCGAGAAGGAAGTGTCCAGAATGGTGGTTGTCATGATCTTCGCCTACTGTTTCTGCTGGGGTCCTTACACGTTCTTCGCCTGCTTTGCAGCTGCAAACCCAGGCTATGCCTTCCACCCACTGGCAGCAGCCATGCCTGCCTACTTTGCCAAGAGCGCCACCATCTACAACCCCGTCATTTATGTCTTCATGAACCGACAGGTATGTCAATGCTGTTTAACAGAGCTCAAAATTTGTCCACCACTTTCTGCATGAATAATCTTGATTTCTCTTTTTGTGCAGTTCCGCGTATGCATCATGCAGCTCTTTGGAAAGAAGGTGGATGATGGCTCTGAGGTGTCCACATCCAAAACAGAAGTGTCTTCTGTGGCTCCTGCATAAGTTGTGCACCAGATCTGAGTCAGACATGGGGAAAAAGATGAAAATGAGACTTTTTATATTCCTTGTTCACCCACACTGCATCTCGACAACTCTGCTTCCAGATATTTCCCTTGGAGTGATGGGGAATACCTTAGTGCATGGCAACATCACTTTTTCAATGCCCCTGTGACTTAAGATCCACAGGAATGATGTTACAGTTTTTATGGTAATCATTTGTAACACTCATTTGTCCGTGATATTCTTATCAGCTGGCTATTCAGAAGGTTTTGCACCAGTATATAGCACTGCTTGAGGGAATGTGACAATCCGTGTGGATTTACTAACAGTGAAAAATTATCACCTCATTCTAATGTGCAATTTCTGCTGGACTGATGTTTAGTGGCGATGTAATACTAATCATTTTGTAGATATCTTGCAAGAAAACAAAAATCACAAAAAAAGAGTGATTGGTAGATGCCTGCCCATGTACAGCATGTAATATGGTTCTATTTTTTCTTTGATGAAAATAAAAAAAGCAGCAAAATAAATATTTCTCTGGGTCTCTTTCATTATGCATGCACATCTCACTGCATATATTACATTGTGGGACTCATTTGATAAGAGTTATTAAAGAAATGGACCGTTTTCAAAGAGGCATTTCTGCAATAATAAATGTTGGAAACAAATGTGTATGTACATATCTATATTTTTATTTAGATTTAGCAGACTCTTTTATTTAAAGTCATTACATTCCATTCAAGGTACTCAAGCTCTTGCTTTCTCTCAGGATTGAACACCTGACCTTGCCACCATATACTGCTTACTAAACCACGGGAAGACTTTAATGTAGATTTATTGCATTTCCTTGGGAATGAATTATAATAGGTAAACAAATAATCAAGACCTTATTTCTAATACATCAGCTGAAGGAGTACCAGTAAAATAAAGACATTTTCCCCATGTACCTTTCACAGATGATTATTCTGCAATAATTTACTTTCATGTTTCAAACTTTTAAAAGTTCAAAAGGTTCAATATTTTATTTAGAATTATTTTTATTTATCTTTACCCAGTTTCACTTTCAACCACTTTTTCCAGATTTCACAAACTGCACTGAAGTCCTTCAGACACCTAAACTCAATCTGTTTAAAGCAAAATAACTTTCGACTCAATATGTTTCATTGTCCTTGACAGGATTTACAGCTTTAAAGTCACTTAGGAGTCTGCAAACAAATGGAACAAGTCAATTGTAATTTCTCTGTTTAAGCCTGAGGGGGGCTAAGCAATTTCCACGGGAACGTGACACTGAAAGCACTTCTTAACCAAGGAAGATTAACCTCAAATTGAGTTCTTACCTTTTTGATTCTGTGCGTCTCTGTGCCCCCGTGTGCTCGGGTGCAAATGCGTGCAAGGACCTCTGCTTCCATCCAATATGTGTGACATCACAGACGGCTTTAGGGCCCATACCTTCTATGCAGATTTGGGGGCACTTCCTGTTATGTGAGACATCTGTGCCTCCCATCTAACCTTAATTCGCTTCCGTCCGAAAGTTAGAGGGATAATCTTTCTGGCAATGAGCTGGTATAAAATGTCTCTGACACCGTCTGCCAGAACGTTGGTTGCGATTTCAACCACAGTCGGAGAAGTAAGGGGCAAAGGACAGACCTGCCACCAACTCAGCAAGAGAAGAACACTGTGACAGGTACAATCATTGTAAATTTGACCATCTTTGGTCACACAAAAATAGGCAAATGGAAATAATTCTTTTATTTATTTGATCTTCAGGGTTTCCAAAATGGCAGAGTGGGCCAATGCGGCATTTGCCGCGAGACGGCGAGGGGACGAAACAACAAGGGACAACGCTTTCTCATATACCAACAGCAATAACACAAGGGGTAAAATACTAACTTAATCTTCAGGAACAGCTGGATAAATCATGTGCTTTATGATTGATTAGAATTGTAAAAGTTTTTAATAATGATCTCTTTTCACAGATCCCTTTGAGGGTCCCAATTACCACATTGCCCCTCGATGGGTGTACAATGTTGCAACAGTCTGGATGTTCTTTGTGGTTGTCGCCTCAACCTTCACCAATGGCCTGGTACTGGTGGCCACGGCCAAATTTAAGAAGCTCCGTCACCCTCTCAATTGGATCTTGGTCAACCTTGCTATAGCTGATCTGGGAGAGACTCTGTTTGCCAGCACAATCAGCGTCATCAATCAGGTTTTCGGCTACTTTATCCTCGGACATCCCATGTGTATTTTTGAAGGCTACACTGTGTCAGTATGTGGTAAGTTACTACACACAGAAAGCAAACTGAATAGTGTGCTAAACTGAAGATTTAGGAGGTTTTTAATGATATTTACCAACACAGGTATTGCTGGACTGTGGTCGTTGACTGTCATCTCTTGGGAAAGATGGGTGGTTGTCTGTAAACCATTTGGAAATGTCAAGTTTGATGGTAAATGGGCATCTGCTGGCATTATCTTCTCCTGGGTTTGGGCTGCTGTTTGGTGTGCACCTCCCATCTTTGGCTGGAGCAGGTAAGGAATGAAATAGTCCAGTTTTGCACTCTAAATGATTTGATAATGTCATACATGTATGTGAGAGCTGTTATCCCTGCTCTATAGGTATTGGCCTCATGGTCTGAAGACCTCCTGTGGACCTGATGTGTTTGGAGGAAACGAGGACCCCGGAGTCCAGTCCTACATGCTGGTCCTAATGATCACCTGTTGCATCCTTCCTCTTGCTATCATCATTCTCTGCTACATTGCTGTGTTCCTGGCCATCCATGCTGTATGTTAACCTCTTGAGAGGAAGCTTTTTAAAGAAAAAGTTTCCGCTATGGAGAACTGAGTGTGTTTTCAATCATCTTCAACAGGTCGCCCAGCAGCAGAAGGATTCTGAGTCCACACAGAAGGCCGAGAAGGAAGTGTCCAGAATGGTGGTTGTCATGATCCTTGCTTTCTGCCTTTGTTGGGGTCCGTACACGGCCTTTGCCTGCTTTGCAGCTGCAAACCCAGGCTATGCCTTCCACCCACTGGCAGCAGCCATGCCTGCCTACTTTGCCAAGAGCGCCACCATCTACAACCCCATCATTTATGTCTTCATGAACCGACAGGTATGTCAATGCTGTTTAACAGAGCTCAAAATTTGTCCACCACTTTCTGCATGAATAATCTTGATTTCTCTTTTTCTGCAGTTCCGCGTATGCATCATGCAGCTCTTTGGAAAGAAGGTGGATGATGGCTCTGAGGTGTCCACATCCAAAACAGAAGTGTCTTCTGTGGCTCCTGCATAAATCTTACGTGATTTATAGCTCCTGTTGAACAAGAGGGAAGAACTGGACTTTCAGACTCCAAGATGCAATAGTCTTGACTGTACATATGTAGACAAAACTCCTCTGAAGGAAACTGTTTTATGGCAATGCTGGACTCAAACTGAACACCATATAGTAAGTCCTGAGTGGATTTATTTTGCGATGCAATGCTGTTATTCAAATCTTTTATGAAAGTTCTCTCATGCTGAAGAATGTAAGAAAGACTGGTTCGATGAATAATGTGAAAACAATTATGACACGTATTGTTGTTGTCACAGAGCTATGTTTTTTAGATCCAAATGCAAATGTAAAAAGGAGAAAAAAATACATTTTTATGTTATTTCAATGTTTTCTGAAGAAAATAAATCATGCAGCAAAATGATATGTTGTACTCTTCATTCATTGCATGCTACAATATTTTATTTGTCTTCATTATTTCACATCTGAATCCATGTAAAGTTGATGGGCAAATATACTTTGAGTAATAATACCCAGCAAACAATGTTGTCTTTAATAGATGACTAACAGACAGCTTAACACAGACAGCTTGGCTAAAACAAGGCTAAACTTGGGCTTTCAGTGAAAATCTAATAGACATCTAAGAATAGCCCAAATCAAATCTGTCAAATAGACTGATTAGACAGAATTTACATGTGTAGTCATTCGTTTCTGTTTATTTGATTACTAGTCTAGCCTTGGCCTATACATCTATTAGATTTTCACTGACAGCCCAAATTTAGCCTTGTTTTAGCCAAGAAAACCATGTTTAGACGTCTATTAGACATCTTTTAAAAACAAAAAATGCTTGCTGGGTCTTCAGAAACTGATAACTTCAGGAACGGATAAACAAAACCGATGACTTCATATGTATGCCAAGTATATGCAAATCTAAGAGAATTTCCAAGAATGCAGGTTACAGGGACTTTTTTATTCAGAGCACATGAAGCCAGGTAACATCGAGTAATCTCATATAAGCTCTATTCCACATCAAGCGGATAGAGGATTTCACCTAGGCTGGCCAGTAAAGTCTTGACTTTTGCTAGGAAGCTTATATGGTGGAACTCATTAGGTTAAAACACTGCTGAGTGTATTTGTGTATATAAGGGCACATGTGTTGAGTGTTCTACGTTGCATGTGTTCGTGTACATTTGCTTGAGGTTTATCAGGGCAAGTCACTTCATAGCAGAATGTATTTTTTACACTTTATTTAAGAGATAAAACTATTTAAAACATTTCTGGTTTGAGTTATTTTGTGCCCTTGCATGAAGGAGCATTAAAAATACTCAAAAAAGCTTTGGTGAAATGTATTTAACCAATTTCTAACATATCTACACTTTAGTTTGAGAAACATTGCAAGATTTTTCATCTGAAAGGATTAGTCTAAAAACCTTTTAGTTATTTGTTGGTTTTCCATTCTACTTATTCCAATAACACTGGTGATTTTCAGATATATTCCTATAGATTTCAAACAATGTATTTTAAAAACATTTTAAAGGTCCCATATAGAGCTTTGAAATATGCACTTTTATTTGATGTTTGACGTAATTTCATTTGGGTGAAAGTGACAAAATACAAGCTTAACATTCATTCATTTATTTTCTTGTCGGCTTAGTCCTTTTATTAATACTTGGTCGCCACAGCAGAATGAACCGCCAACTTATCCAGCAAGATTTTACTCAGCGGATGCACTTCAAGCCGGAACCCATCTCTGGGAAACAAGCTTAACATGCTTTTATCAATTTTATATCTTCTAAATGGGAATTTTATCACTGTTTTAGGGCACACTAGCTTATAGATATCCTAAAAATGAATAATACTAACATCTAAAAAACAACAACTTTAATTTCATGGGACCTATTAGGGCTGCACAATATATCATTTTTGCATCAATGTCGCAATGTGTGAATATGCAATCGTCACATCGCAGGAAGCATGTGAAGTCAGGATTATAGTAGACCAGGTACAACAGTTCAGAAAACATGAGAATTTTGGATTCTTTTCAGTTTAACCATAATAAAGTGATTATTTTTAAAGCATTTTAAGCGAGTTTAAAATGTTTACGCACATTAATTTATCACGTTTGTAGCTTTAACAAAGATGAATTGTATTTAATTATTTACACAATGAAGAACATAGAGCACATTATTTTTTTATTTTTTACTTCTTGATCTCTGCTTGTAATCTGTGTATTACAGTTTATGCAGATGCACTCCCCTACAAAATCATCC